AKAWKRYGGCACAGACAATCGGACCAAATATGTCTTGTACAATTATCAAACTTCGTAACGCAATTTACATTCAACTCTCGCCTTACGGACACCCCGCTACAAMGAACACCTCGATATTTGGGACAGTAAAATACTGAATCCTCGGCGAAAAAATATAAAGAAATGACTGAAGGTTACTCTCGTTACTACGGACTCTCGCTACTGCGGACATTAAATTACGATCCCATACACCTTTACCATAATGGCTGCAATTGTGTTTTTCCAAAATAAAATAGATATAAATATTTTGTCATTGTAACATAAAAGAGCTTTCAGAAATAAACGTTTTTGAAACGTTTTAGATCTCTGGACAAAATAGGAAAAAAATTATGGTGAAATGAAAATACAAAGAAATGTATGTAATTTTCCACCAATGGCTGTCTGTCTATTTGTTTCTAAATATGAAATATGTGAAAACTTTGTCACGTCATGTGAATGAACTACCAGAAATAAACATTTTTGGGAACTTTTACAGCCCTGGATAAAATGAGAACAAAGTTATGGCCAAATGAAAATGCAAGAAATGTATGTAATTTTCCGCCAAGGCCTTTATAGCCTCGTTCTGGTGTTATGATATATTTTAAATCCTTATAACTTCACCAGAATTTAATATTTTCATTTCAAACTTTTATATGTTGTTATTAGCACAGGTTCCTGTCAGCCGTTAGTTTGCTTTGACTAAAATTCTATGATTTTAAAGATTTATGTTAATTAGATGGCGGCCATTATGGTAAAGGTGTATAAGGGTGTCCGGAATAGCGAGAGTTGACTGTACTTAGCACTAATGTTAGTATTTACTTCAGTCGAACATTTGCATGAAAACTTACTGTTTGTGTAGTTTCTGACTGGATGATTGCTCCAGTTTTTCGATGTGAGACCAGTGTTCTGGTTCTGGTTCGGCCTGATCGTCAAAATCAACTGCAATGACAAAAGTATGACATGTGATGATCAGCGTTTTCTTTTCAGAAATATCCAAATACGGTTATTGTTTTCGCTGGTTTTGTGTAAATGACAGGTAACGGATTGAAAAAAAAGCTGCATAGATCCAAATCTTGCAAATTCAGGCAATTGTGCAGCGACGCCATTTTGGTCAGCAAAGCATGATGGGAGTTGTAGTCCTCGTAATGTTTACGTCGCTTGAAACAGCCCTCCTAAAGACCAATTTAGACGACACAACTCTTTCCTGCAAACATCGCATGCAACCTGCGTAAGTCATCCTTACAACATGGCTACAACTGTCGTGGGGCTATAAAGCAATTGTTTTAAATCCCTAAAATCCCATAGCAGTTGTAGTCATGTTGTAAGGATGACTTACGCAGGTTGCATGCGATGGTTGTAGGCAAAAGTTGTGCCGTCTGAGTCGGCCTTAAGCCGTGCTTGCTTTTTCTTTGCGCCGTTTCAACGGCGGGAACATAAAGACGGCTTCAAGGAAGATTCTTTAGAGCGATGACTATCATTCCCATCGTTGTTGTTGTACAAAATGGCGTCGCTGCACATTGCCTATAAAGCCAGCCATTATCATCATATCATTGTCATGACATACCACTAAGGTTTACAACAGGTACGATCTCAGGCTTCTCTTCGTGGTCTATGTTCTCAAACGAATGCACAAAGCCGTTGGCAGTGGTTGGTGAGACCTAGAACATGAGTAAACAAGACCTTTTCGTCAAGATTTACCAATAGCATTTACAATGTATTGGCCTCTGTCACTCAAAGAAAATGACAACCGATACACAAGGCCGATTTACACGATACGACTGTCGCGTGCGACTTGTAGTATACGACTCGAATCCAACAGTGTAAATGCCTTTACGACTTGCTTTTAAGCAAATGTTGTTGTAGGATTTTTAACCACGGCCTCAAAATCTTACGACTTTTCGTAGGACAAGTCGCACGCGACAATCGTACAGTGTAAATCCGCCTACAGAAAACGCCAAGAAACGTATCGGTGTAGATGAGAACTTAATTTAAATGTGTTCTTGTTGGTATTCTTGGCCCATTACATAGCCGAATGCTGAATGAAGTTTTCACTTTAGGCATGTACATAATATGACGTCATGAGCGATATCAAAAGTGACGTCATAAGTATGTCTATACGTGGACTTTAACTTACAATTCGCTTTGGATGAGGACTTCTAAAGAGCTGCTTGGGTGTTTGTCCAAACTCTAAGATCTGAGCCTCCAGAGAAGCTCGCTCGTNCGTAACGCAATTTACATTCAACTCTCGCCTTACGGACACCCCGCTACAAAGAACACCTCGATATTTGGGACAGTAAAATACTGAATCCTCGGCGAAAAAATATAAAGAAATGACTGAAGGTTACTCTCGTTACTACGGACTCTCGCTACTGCGGACATTAAATTACGATCCCATAAGGGTGTCCGGAATAGCGAGAGTTGACTGTACTTGGCACTAATGTAAGTATTTACTTCAGTCGAACATCTGCATGGAGACTTACTGTTTGTGTAGTTTCTGACTGGATGATTGCTCCAGTTTTTCGATGTGAGACCAGTGTTCTGGTTCTGGCTCGGCCTGATCGTCAAAATCAACTGCAATGACAAAAGTATGACATGTGATGATCAGCGTTTTCTTTTCAGAAATATCCAAATACGGTTATCTTTTTCACTGGTTTCGTGTTAATGACAGGAAACAGATTGAAAAATAAACACAGTAGTTCAGCGACGCCATTTTGTTCAGCAAAGCATGATGGTATGTTGTAGTCCTCGAACGTCCTTCTTAAAGACCGATTTAGACGACACAACTTTTGCCTACAACCATTGCATGCAACCTGCTTAAGTCATCCTTACAACATGGCTACAACTGTCGTGGGGCTATTAAGCAATTGTTTAAATCCCTGCGGCAGTTGTAGCCATGTTGTAAGGATGACTTATGCAGGTTGCAAGCGATGGTTGTAGGCAAAAGTTCGGCTTTAAGACGTGCTTGCTTTTTCTTTGCGCCGTTTCGACAAAGGGAACATAAAGACGGCTTCAAGGGAGATTCTTTAGAGCGAGGACTACAATTCCTATCGTGCTTGTAGTACAAAATGGCGTCGCTGCACATTGCCTATAAATCATCATATTATTGTCATCACATACCACTAAGGTTTACAACAGGTACGTTCTCAGGCTTCTCTTCGTGGTCTATGTTCTCAAACGAATGCACAAAGCCGTTGGCAGTGGTTGGTGAGACCTAGAACATGAGCAAACAAGACCTTTTCGTCAAGCTTTACCAACAGCATTTACAATGTATTGGCATCTGTCACTCAAAGAAATGACAACTGATATACAAGGCCGATTTACACGATACGACTGCCGCGTGCGAATTGTAGTATACGACTCAAATCCAACCGTGTAAATGCCTCTACGAGTTTCCTACAACAGTCGTACACAACCTTCGACTTGTTGTAGGAATTTTAACCACGGCCATACAAGTCGCACACAACAATCGTACAGTGTAAATCCGCCTACAGCAAATACCAAGAAATGTATCGGTGTAGATGAGAACATAATTTAAATGGGTTCTTGTTTGTATATCTTGACGCCATTACATAGCCAAATGCTGAATGAAGTTTTTACTTTAGTCATATAGTCATAGACATAATATGACGTCATGAGCGATATCAAAAGTRACGTCATAAGTATGTCTATACGTGGACTTTAACTTACAATTCGCTTTGGATGAGGACTTCTAAAGAGCTGCTTGGGTGTTTGTCCAAACTCTAAGATCTGAGCCTCCAGAGAAGCACGCTCGTTGGGATCTGTTATGCTGTGGATTACATCATGATACAACTTTTTTAATAAACATCAAATGAAAATGGATTACTTTTCATATGCGTAACCCAAGAAACACATCCAATCTGTGATATTACTAAGGTTGTTATAAGTMTGACAAAAAACAATCTTTTGTTTCTGGAGAATTTAATGTCATTTGCATTGAATTCGACACAAGTGAGAGACGGCGCTTGAAAGACGCTAAACTTGTCCCTAGGCTACTTCCTCTTACTCCAGCACGACGTCATAGACCTTTTAGGAGATTGTGACTAGATTCAGTACAAACAWCTTTTGTTCATGCAACCAAATATGGTATTGCTTGTACTGAAGCTAGACCACAATGCACCATGATTTTGAATATCAGAAAAAGTCCATACTAGATGTCCTCCATTTTGAAATTGGAGATGAGCTGGCAGAGTGTAGTCTGGGGAAGAGTCTAACTAATTTCGTGTAATGTGTTTTCGTTGACTTACCTGTCGAGGTCTACGGCTCCTTCATATGTCAGGTAATAAAACACTGTAGATACAAATAGTTAATAATTACGAATACAGACAGACAGACAGTCATACAAAAATTTACCGACTTATGGGGACTTTGGTCTAAACCATAGTTGTGGGCACATAAGGTTTTAGAATGATTTCAAAATGATAAAGCCTCGGCAGGACTTAAGATTTAATTCTCTATAATTAGACACCTTGAAACGCTATCGAAAGCGACTTATCGAAGTTTTTGTGCGGACGTGACAAACACAGGCATGAGGACAGACAGACAGAAAGCGAAGGGAAACAAGCAAACAAGAAACTTTGAGTTGGAAGGGTTGCTATTACTTCCTCGCTAATATTATATTCAATAGTTTACTTGTCCTGACAGCCTCTGAAACGGCGCTTTGCAATGCAAACAATCTCTGAGGAAGCAAAAACGCCAAGAGGATGAAAAAAAAGAGCGGCGTGAAAAAGTACCATTGTCTGCTTTCCAGGCCTCCTCTCCTCTTTGTTTATACCCAAAGATAAGGTCAATCCAGTTGTGTAGTCTCTCTGAGACGTATGTACTTTCTAGAGCTTCTCGATTGAGACGAATAAAATGTTCACAGTCTAAAAAAATAAGAAATAAGAATACAACAACTGTTAGGTAACAGTAAACACGAATTTTCTGTTTGTAATCATTTTATTGTGTTTTGCAGCAGTTAGTTTAGCCTCCTCTTCATTTCTCTTCATTTTGTCATTTGGGAACCCTGTGGTATCCTCTTGGCCGAGCGGGGGACTCGGTCATATTGAGGAAGACAGGAAGCCCGAGAGTAGAAAGAAGAGCGGGACTACGGGTAAGGCTAGAGCTAGTGATACCTTTAGCGTAACGTGGCAGCTCAACGTTCATGACTTTAGTCTTGTCTTGTTTTGTACCGAGTGGTAGGTTTTGACTATTTACAAGGAATTCACCAGACGACTGAAAGAACTCTGGAATAAGCTGGGAAAAAGAGCAACAAGATGTAAAACCAATGTCAAGTTATATTAGGAAAAAAAAGTCCACAAAAATTGGTAAAGTTTTGTTTTTTCATTCATAAATGCTAAATACCTCTTTAACGTCAGCATGTCCTGTAAGAACATTCTCCCATGTCTCAGCGACACTAAAAAAGAAAATATCATACGTGATCCATGCCACATAAAAGCAACAGTCTCCATCGCATTTTTTTTACCTATTAAAAAGGCGATCAGGCTGGTCAAACTTGCCTCCTTGTAAACAAAGCATGAATTCTGGCGCTGTGGGAAAACGAAGATGCAACTGTTATGGAGCACATTTTAATATTTACAAATATCCGTACATCGTTCCCGGTAAATTGAGACTGTTAGATCTATCAGTTCTTTCTCATAAGGTAGTTACGTATATAATCATCATCTAGCGTGATAATACCTTACTGTAAGTTAAAACACGTTACGTTTTATTGCGTTTTTTGTGTGTTTAGTTGCGTTACTATACATTGCATTACGCACCAACCTCTTACATCATAGTATGACATAGTATGCCGGAATCTAACACGTTAAACACTTTTTATTGCGTTTTGTGTGTGTTCGTTTGGGTTACTATAAATTGCATGACGTAGTAACTCGTACAAGATAGAGCGGATTTCGCATGAGTGGGAAACGCAAGGTACTGTACTGTGACCGTAATCGTACTGTAACCAAATTCTAGTGCCCCATTGGTTCACCAAAATTGTGAAGGCCAGGTCCGGTAACTGTGCGGTAACCGTGCCGTAACGGTGTCCCACTCGTACGAAATCAGCTCTAGTGCAAAACGTATCCCGGAATCTAACACGTTTTATTGCRTTTATTTGTGTGTTTGTTGCGTTATTATACATTGCATTACGTAGCAACTCGTACACGATAGTACAACACGCATCTCAGAATCTAACACGTTACGTTTTATTGCGTTTATTGTGTGTGCAGTTGCGTTACTAAAAACTGCTGATTTACGTACCGACTCGTACAAGATAGTACAAAACATATCCCGGAGTAGAATAATGGGATCCATACAGAAACTTTGGTTCCGGCATTTCTCTACACCTCTCCTAAAATATACAAATATACACCGTGGATTTAAAATCAAGCCGCCAATGGCAACACAACTCGAAGATTGATTGTGAAGACGAATACAGAAAGATATAATTAACGACTAATCAAATTATAATTACTTAACGAATAGAATTTTAAGTAAACGATTTATGAATATAGTTTTATAATTAAACTTCGGTTCTGGATAAACATCGGCGAGCGCCGGCGAGATGAATACCACTCGAGCTACAACTATGTCGACCAGAAGCGCTACATCTGGATTCAAAAAACAAATAAAATCACCGCAAGTGTCAAATTAAAGGCGCTCAACGAGCGCATGTGGTTACTCCCAACATTATTTGTCATTGAAATGTATTCAAAAGGAAAGTTCTTTTCATTGATATGGTTGAAAGTTTTTGAGAGTTCTTTGAAGTAGGGTTGAAAGCAACTGCTAAGAAAATGACACACTTTTGAATAGTAATTTGAAAATTATAAACAGACAATTTTCGATGTCCATTATTAGACTGAATTGTTTTATTTCATAACATGTAGAAGAACGATTTATATAATGAACAGGTGAACATTGTAAGATTAAGTAAAGTAAGAAACTTAAGATACATATATATCTCTTATTGAAATTGAATATTTAATATTAACAAGAAAGCCAAGTTATATTATATAATTTGTTAATGGAAAATCTATAAATAAAAATACATGTTTAACGCAATTATGACTATGAAATTTCGAGTTGAGAAGTTTTAAATAATCAGTTACTGTCAATTACTGTATCTCTTCAGTAGAGTAGCAAAACATTGGTGACTTTATTTTGTTTCTTTTTAAATGTCACTTCAAGTTTTGGAAGTGCGAATAGAAATTGTCCCATGTCTTGAGTACTTTGTGGGTCTTCTGAGTAAACGAATGGGAAAATTACGTAATATAACTCTGTTTTGCATGACATCAGCCTACATCGGTTAGGAACGCCTGGCTATACTGGTTACTATTGTTGCGACCATCCATCGATCATATTTACATCGCGCGATAGCTAAGTGGATACTCCGTGCGGAGTAACCACAAAAACAATAACAACTAAATCCCTAAGAAAACCCAACTTCAACAACAATATAAACTTCAAGTCGTAACATTGTTTAATATTTCTCATGTTGGTAGAAGGCGAAAAAAAATTGAGTTTGCCTAATAAAAATTCTTCGCAAGGAAAACCAGAATACCAGAACAAAATCAAGGCAAAGCTGAAACAAATCGTTGAATACTAGTGAGATGCTAGATCACATGATCACGTGTTACATTATGGCTTCATTTTTCTACATTCATTACTTATGAAATTACCCAAAAACTACTAAGTTTGACTTTTGTTTTAGCAACAAATATGTAAAATTTGCGATCGTTAGGTAAATGCTGCCATGTCTAGTACCGCTACATCTGGCACCGAAAGACGCAAACAAATCACCGCAAGTGTCAAAAAGCAATTAAAAAAAAGCTAGTTCAATTAAATCAAACAATATAAATTTTAACAAACAGCCAATTAATTGGATCATCAAAGAATTTGTGGCTTAAACGTATCAATTATTGAATATATGGTCAATAGACGAAAGATGTTTCATTAAACTGTCTTGGTTTTAGTATGTCAAAAAACAGTTTTGTTTAAAAAGCAAGTTCACATATAACATGAAACAGTCAAATAGTGCCCGGTTTAACAAGGCTTAAAGGAACAATTTCTTAAAAT